AGACATCAACAAAGATACAGCCCACTTCACAAGAGTTCCCATTACAAACTCGTATTGTACGATGAAAAATGCTGAACTTCCTGACATTTATTCTACTATATGGACAATAACGTTATAGCAACAATGCTCCAAATATTACTACAGTGTGTCACAATGAACACCGATAATAAAGATTATTCAACGTCATATGTAACAAATGCTCAACACGCAAGGCCGGAATCGAACTTAAAGCCAACAACAGAAGCATTCGAGCAGATACAACAACAAAAACATTCGAGCAGAAATAGCAAAAACCAAATATTTTCAGCAGAAACAAAAACATTCGAGCAGTAACAACGGCAACAAAAATATTCGAGCAGAAACAACAAAACAAGTATCGAGCAGAAACAACAATATCAAAAGCATTCGAGCAGACACCAAATATAATTACCACCGTTTTTAGCTCACCTGGCCCGAAGGGGATGGTGCGGCGTCCGTCGTCCGGCGACAATATTTTACTTTTACTGAATTACCGAAAAGCCTGGAATGTTGATGTTTTCCCAGTAGCATGCTAGGATGAAGGGCTACTAAGTTTGTTCAAATAAATGACCTTCACTCATATTCAAGGTCACAGGGGTCAAATGTCTAAAAAAACAACTTTAAACAACTTCTTCTGAATAACAAAAATCCCCAGGATGTTGATATTTCGTCTGAGCAGATTAGGATGAAGGGCTACAAAGTTTGTTTGAATGAATGACCTTGACTTATATTTTAAGTCACAGGGTTCAAATACTTCTTCTGAATAACCAAAAGGTGCAGGATGTTGATATTTAGCAAGTAGCATGCTTGGACGAAGGGCTATCAAGCACTTTAATTTGAATAACCTGGACCCACTTTCAAGGTCATTTAAGCATTTAGATGACCTTATCTTCATAAACAAAGGATAGGGTGGTGATATTTTGCGAGTTGCATCCTGAGATGAACGGCTGTAAATTTTGTTGAACGTAATGACCTTATTGGACTTTTAAGGTCACAGGGGGGAAATGTTTTTTAAATCTTTTAACAGTTTTTTTTTTGAATGACTTCTAGTCATAAATACTGATATTTTGCCTGTAGCTTTATTTTAGATCACTTTTAAGGTTACAAGAGATTTAGACCAGGTGAGCAATGCAGGCCCATTGGGCCTCTTTTTTATAACAATAATAAAACCAAGATATTATTCATACATATCCAACAGTAAAAAACTATTAAAGTAAATATTGATATAGGGCCATAGTGTAATTAAATCCCGTTACTGTTTTAACTATACTATCACGGCGCCTTCAGAACCCTTGGACAATACCAACATGCTCCAGAGAGCGGAGTTCATTATCTATACAGATATGCATGTTTACTGTTCGCAGGTTATTCTGTCTTTTCGTATTGCAGAGTTATCTGCTCTTGTGAGCAGGTATTGATTGTTACGTCATTTGTTTGTGAGAGTAACGTCATCAATTTTTTAGAAAACGACGTAATTTTCTCACACAAACCAATGACGTAACGATCAATACCTGCTCACAAAAGAAGATAACTCTGCAATACGCAAAGACGGAAAAGACCAACAGCAACTACCGAAACGTTCGTGTTTTTGAAATAATCTAAAGCACATGAAGATGAATATGGCCTGCTTACACATTATACACTGTACTATAACCGTAATGCTAGCTATTCGGTTACCTGAAAGGATTTCACTCGTTAAAAAAACTATGATCAGAATCTCATGACAAGTTCCATAGCGCCCAAAATCCTTCAATCGGAATGCTGAAGGATAATTTTACACCTATTGTAAAAAAGAAATGTTGTTAAAAAAGAGGAAAAAGGAAAATCCCGCCCCCCCCAAAAAAGAAAGACACCATTGTGGATTGTAAATCGTCCTTGCAGAAAGAAAAAATTAGCCTTCGTTTCATATTGATTTTTTTTCTCCATTTATTTAGTCGTTTTAGTTTTTAGCTTTAGTCGTTAACAATTACATAAGCATTTTTGCAGTGTATATACAGTGCATGAAATGACGCATTCGAGTTTTTAAATCAGAAAGCTGGATCGGTTGCATTCGGTTGCATACAAATCCGAGTTATGATATATAACAGATTTGTCAGCATTTACACCAATCCTACCGTGTGCAATTAATATCCATAGAGCTGAACGTTATATCAGCGTGTACAGATTTTTGTTTGGCAGATTCATGCAATGTTAGACTGCACATTGGTGTTTGTTGGTAGGTTTGTCATTTGAGACCATATATCGGTGTTTGTTGGTAGGTTTGTCATTTGAGACCATATATCGGTTTTTGTTGGTAGGTTTGTCATTTGAGACCATATATCGGTTTTTGTTGGTAGGTTTGTCATTTGAGACCATATATCGGTTTTTGTTGGTAGGTTTGTCATTTGAGACCATATATCGGTTTTTGTTGGTAGGTTTGTCATTTGAGACCATATATCGGTTTTTGTTGGTAGGTTTGTCATTTGAGACCATATATCGGTTTTTGTTGGTAGGTTTGTCATTTGAGACCATATATCGGTTTTTGTTGGTAGGTTTGTCATTTGAGACCATATATCGGTTTTGTTGGTATGTTTTGTGGTGTCATAGATCACATTACTATATAACACGATACTTTTAAGGCAACCAATCCAGGTCGGCCGGTATCATTGATTATGAGCTCGGACATGTTAGTTTAAACAACATTTTATTCAATGACCAACAACTTTATTGCACGCATACGATTTTTAGAGGGTTGGAAAAACGACTTTAGAGCTCATAGCAATTCTACTCCCAAATACATTTACATGCAAATACTTCCTCGTAACTAGGACAAATTAAGTCCAAAACGGATCATAATAAAGTTTTAACATAAAATGCTGTGTAACAGGATATGCTCGTTGTGTGTAAACATTCGTGGTTGCTGTGGAACCATTTTGTCAATTAAAAGCCGCACACCGCTTTCAGAGTTAACACTTAACCTTTTAATCGTATCACATGATTAAAAAGAGTTACAGGAAATTGTGTCGGAGCGCAGACTCTTTGCTGGGGCATGAGAGCTGTTTCATAATTACCGGTCCAGCATCTGCAGGCGGCTCCATATTAGTCGCCTCTTTATACGACATCACAAAGTGGGAGACTGTCGTTTCTCATATACCCTCTAAGCATAATGTGTATTGTTATTTTTGTATTTGTTTTAAAGTTGCTTATAGACTGAAATGAGTATGTTTAATGTTTTGAACGCTCAATAAATTACTGTTGATAGTATTTTCAGCAAATACTAGTATTCGGTATTGGTGCCGTTATGTTTACTGAATAAAGAATAGATGGAAATTTCAAACGGAAATATTGATTTTAATAGATCATTTGTCTTGGTGTTGATGTTCTTGTTAAAACACATTAACTAAAATAATATTACTCTGATGTCCATTTTCATAAACTAGTATAACACTTTCCTTGATGTAAATATTCTTGTTTCAATCTTCCCTACTAAGCTATGATAACGTTTGCCTTGATGTAGATATTCTTGTTTCAACCTTCACTTCTTAACTGTGATAACACTTTCCTTGATGAAAATATTCTTGTTTCAACCTTCCCTACTAAGCTATAATAACGTCTGCCTTGATGTAAATACTCTTGTTTCAACCTTCACTACTAAACTGTGATAACATTTTCCTTCATTTCATTTCATCATATTTTATTGAGTAAACTATATAAGTTCTCTCCTTAGGTTGACATCACAAAGGCAAAGATGAAACGGTTAGTAAGAAAATATTGATGCATATTATATATCATGAGTAGCATAAATCTCCAGTCTATATATAGCATATGGTATAGGGGAGGTAAATCCATGTATGTTTCAAGTATATATAAATATTTAATTGATATTTTGAGCTATACAATGCTCTATGATAACACTTTCCTTGATGTAGATATTCTTGTTTCAACCTTCACTACTAAACTATGATAACACTTTCCTTGACGTAAATATTCTTGTTTCAACCTTCATCACTTAACTATGATAACGTTCGCCTTGATGTAAATATTCTTGTTTCAATCTTTCCTACTAAGCTATGATAACGTTTGCCTTGATGTAAATATTCTTGTTTCAACCTTCATCACTTAACTATGATAACGTTCGCCTTGATGTAAATATTCTTGTTTCAACCTCACTACTAAGCTATGATAACGTCTGCCTTGATGTAATTACTCTTGTTTTAACCTTCACTACTAAATTGTGATTACAATTTCCTTCATTTCATTCCATCATATTTTATTGAGTAAATAATAGGATTGAACAGCAGGCAAAGTCTATATAAGTTCTCTCCTTAGGTTGACATCACAAAGGCAAAGATGAAACGGTTAGTAAGAAAATATAGATGCAAATTATATATCATAAGTAGCATAAATCTCCAGTCTATATATAGGAGATGGTATAGGGGAGATTAATCCATGTATTTTTCAAGTATATATAAATATTTAATTGATATTTTGAGCTATACATTGCTCTATGATAACACTTTCCTTGATGTAGATATTCTTGTTTCAACCTTCACTACTTAACTATGATAACACTTTCCTTGACGTAAATATTCTTGTTTCAACCTTCATCACTAAACTATGATAACACTTTCCTTGATGTAAATATTCTTGTTTCAACCCTCACTACTAAGCTATGATAACGTTTGCCTTAATGCAGATCTATATTCTTGTTTCAGCCTTCACTACTTAACTGTGATAACCTTTATCCTTGATGTAGATATTCTTGTTACTACCTTGATCACTAAACTATGATAACACTTTCTTTGATGTAAATATTCTTATTTCAACCATTCCTACTAAACTGTGATAACGTTTGCCTTGACGTTTGAATCTCTAGTAATACTGCCACCATTTGTACAGAGAAAGTTTGGCGTTAAAAAGGGTTTTGCGATAAAATGAAAGACAATGTAAAAAGAAATTCTTAAGAAAAAAACATAAAAGGGTCTCTGAAATACGATGGGGTTGGCAAAAGAAACGAGGGACATTATATCGAAGCTTTACTGTATTGATAATGTCAGTATTGCGAGTTGTGTACAACGACAACATTAAACACGCCATTGGTTTGTCGATATGTTGATAAAAATCTATTTTGGATACTAGTGACTGAAGTATTAAATATTAAATTATCGGTAATCTTTATAAACATCAAAGGCTATATTGAATGACAATCAACAACTACAGAAACAACACAAACAACCATTAGGAACTTGTTGTATTATATATGTTACTGGTGCGAATGAGACGTTACAACGAAACTATAAGTGTGGACAAAGGAGCCAAACTTAAGTGAAACTTTCTGATAAATTATTTAAGTTTATATAGTAAAACAACGTACTCAGATGTTATCACTACAAATAAAAATAATTGATATGGGCAGTCCGTATTTACAATATCTCACCTCGTTAGAACTCTTAGCATTGAAAACAAATGATTTTATTCAATATTGCTAAATGTGTCAACGCCAAATCCATTTGATATAATGCAGGTCATTTTTTATAAAAGCTTCGTTTGATATAAAATGCATTAAGGCAATTTCTGTCAAACCCTTTTTAACATGATGTTAGAAAAGCATTCCAATTCTGCTTCTATCAAAAGAGATCATTTATGTTTTACAACCTGTACTTTAAACCCAGCCACTCCGTTTCTTTTTCTTCTGTTTCTTCTTCCTCTTTGACGTTTTATAATACCTCTCGGGCGATCTCACAAAGCTTACAACATCCATTATGATAACAATTAGAGCGAGTAACACTAAAATAAATATACCAATATATCCAACGGTAGTTGCAGATGGCCTGGAGTCGATTGCACTAGTCTTCTTCCGGACACTAGACGACAGAGTGGATTTGTCAACAGTCAGTTTCTCCTTCGTTTTCTCCATGGCCTTCGCCACGGCTGCTACAGTTAAGTTAGCGGTCGTCTTTGTGGCTTTCATACGCCTACAAGGACATTTCTGACGCCGTCTACAAGAGGATGATATCACTGATGGTATGGATGACAATACAGATGAGAGGCATTTGGAAGGGAGAGGAATCGAGGAAGGCGTAGATAAGGTTAGTTTTGCTTCTAGTGTCACAGAAGCTTGTAATGAAGAATCAATTGATGTCTGCTTTAAATCGGAAGTATGGGAATCGCCTCCCGTTATTTGCACAACGTCGGGCGTTGTCAGTATATCGGTTCTACTAAAAGGGAATGGTTCAGCAGTACTGCTCGTAAATTTATATGCTGATGTTTCCATTATATATGATAAAACACTCGGCAAAAGATGGTCCGAAGAGTACGGTTTCGTAGGGCTCACGTTTACACTGGCTGCATCGGTAGGATTTATGTTAATGCCAGAAGTGCTAACGGTATCGGAATGATAATAGTGTGATGATCCTGCTCTTGTCTTGGTTGTATCTGTAGGTGTCGACAGCGATGATGACAACGATGATGATGGTGACGCTTTTTGTAAGAAATTAACAATGGTATCGGTTGGGTTTGCGACCGTCTGTGTTGTTGTTGGTTTTATATATTGATCTGTTGCTGTATATGTAAGATATTCATCTGGAGTTGTCGCTGTGATATATTGAGCTGTTCTTGTCGGTGTGATATAATGATCTGCAATTGTTGGTGTTATATATTGATCTGTTCTAGTTGGTGTGATATAATGATCTGTTCTTGTCGGTGTGAGATAATGGTCTGTATTTGTTGGTGTGATATGGTGATATGTTCTTGTTGGTGTAATATATTCATCTGTAGTTGATATAAATGCATCTGTTAAATCGGCTCTTGAGGTAGCAGATGCAACAGCTTGATATGTTGTGATCAACGAATCTGTGGTTGATATTACCACAGGTTCTGTAATTAATGGTGTAATTGTCGGTGTAAACAATGTATCTACAGTTGCTTGTTTCACAAAGCTTTCTGTAATCATAGATGTAACAGAAAGATCTTTAGTTGTTGTTGTAACAGAGGTATCTGTATTTGTAGGTTTATCTGATGTTTCTGTCTTTGTCGGCATAACTGATGTAAGCGTAGATGTAGGAGTTTCGGATGTCTTTTGTGTAACTGTTGTTTCTGTAGTTGTCGGCGTTACTGATGAAAACGTAGATGTAGGAGTATCTGATGTCGCATGTGTTTCTGTTGTCGTCGGCGTTACTGATGTAAGTGTAGATGTAGGAGTATCTGA